ATCAGCGTCAACCAGGCCGGATTCATCAAGAACTGCGGCACCACCGATGCCATCTTCGGTGTGCGGATGCTGATGGAGGCTCACAGAGAGAAGAAAATCCCGCTCCACACCGCCTTCTTGGACTTGGAAAAGGCCTTCGACCGAGTCCCGCACGATCTCATCTGGTACGCACTGCGAGATCACGGCGTGCCCGAGCTACTCGTACAATGGGTCCAACTCCTATACAGATGTCACAAAAGCCGTGTAAAAGCGGCAGCTGGGATATCAGAGGAGTTCAATATCACCGTTGGCGTACACCAGGGCTCTGCTCTCTCACCACTGCTGTTCATTCTGGTGATGGACACAATTACACACGACCTGCACACGCCCGCCCCATGGACGCTGCTCTACGCCGATGATGTGTTCCTGGCCAACCTGCGCAAGGCTGAACTCGAGCACCTAGTCCAACAGGGGCACGACCGCCTCGAGCAGTTCGGGCTCCGGTTGAACCTAAAGAAGTCCGAATACCTGACCACTGACAACGAAACGACAGGCTCCATCCACGTGAACGGGCAGGAGCTACCGCGCGCCTCCACCTTCAAGTACCTGGGAACTACTCTTGGGGAAGAAGGCCTACTACAAACTGAGGTGGCAGCCAGGATCAACGCAGCGTGGGGCAAATGGAAGTCCGTCACGGGCGTCCTCTGTGACAAGAAGATGCCGATGCGCCTGAAGGCGAAAATCTATAACTCTGTGGTGCGCCCCGTGGCCATATACGGCGCAGAGTGCTGGCCGACGACCAAAGAAGTCGAAAGCAGACTCCAGACAATGGAGATGCGAATGCTCCGATGGTCGGTAGGCCTCACCCTACTCGATCGCGTCAGGAATGAAGAAGTGCGCAGACGGTTCAACGTCGTGCCCATCCCCACGGTCATGAGGCAGTCCCGGCTACGATGGTTCGGCCATGTGAGTCGCGCCAAGGAAGAATCCATCATCAAATCTACGATGAAGGTGATTGTCGGAGGAGCGAGACCGCGTGGTAGACCTAAGCAACGCTGGATGGACACGATCAAGGCCGATCTAGAGACCGCGAAGGCAGACCCGACATACGTGGCAGACAGAGAGGCGTGGAAGCAGTACTCAAGGACATTAGCGGACCTCGCCAGAGCGCGAGACAAACGCTGAAGAAAAAGAAGAAGAAGAAGAAGACTGAAGGAAGACACAGACCCGCAGCAAGTTAAAACTATATAGACCTATATCCCTATTAAATTCAGACTATAAAATTTTTGCTTCAATCCTGGCAGGAAGACTGAAAGGATATTTAAATAATTTTATTCATACTGATCAAAATGGATTTCTGCTAAAGAGACAAATTAAAGACAATATGAGAATAATTCTGGATACTTTGGAATACTATGAGGCACATCCTGAAAAGCAAATGGCTTTGATGTTTTTAGATGCACAAAAAGCCTTTGACAATGTGAGTTGGCGATTTATGTTATTGCAACGAGTACAAATGGGCTTTGGTAAAAAATTATTCAAGCCATTGAAACGATATATCACAAACAAACTGCAAAGGTCATCATAAATGGAGAATTAACAGAGTCTATAGATATAAGAAAAGGGACTAGACAAGGTTGCCCACTGTTGCCTCTGCTGTTTGTGTTAACATTGGAAATGTTGAATAGGAATATTAGAGCAGAAAAAGAAATAAAAGGAATGAAAATTAAAAAAGAAGAGTATAAATTGCAAGCCTTTGCAGATGACCTGGTATTTATATTAGAGGATCCATTGGAAACAGCATCTAATTTAATAGAAAAGATAGAAGAGTATGGAAAAGTAGCAGGTTTGAAAATAAAGATAAAACAAAGGTATTAACAAAGAACATGTTAGCAAGACAAAAGAAAGAGTTGGAGGAAGTTTTAGAAATACAGGTCACAAATAAGGTTAAGTACTTAGGGATATATATTACACCAAGATGTAGTACATTGAAGGAGGATAATTACTTTAAACTCAAACAACAGATTGTGACAGACTTGACAAAATGGGAAAATTTACAATTATCAATGATTGGGAGAATATCTACAATTAAGATGAATGTATTGTCTAGAATTTTATATTTATTCCAGACAATTCCAATTCGATTAGGGAAAGAGTTTTTCGAAGACTTAAATAAAATTGTGGTGAAATATATTTGGCAGGGTAAGAAAGCGAAAATAAAACTTAAACTGTTACAAGATGCAAGAATAAGAGGAGGGTTTGCTTTGCCCAACTGGGAATTGTATTATCAGGCAACAACCTGATGTGGGTAAAGGAATGGATAACATTAAGGAACTGTAAATTATTGACTTTAGAAGGACATGACCTGCTGTTGGGATGGCATGCTTTCCTCTGGTATAAGGGAACTAAAACACAGGAGTATTTTAGAAAACATTATATTCGAGAGGCATTGGGAGAAGATAAGAAAGCAATATTACTTAAAAAATCCATTATGGATATCTACCACTGAAGCTTTTTCTTATCCAATAATATATAAAAAGGAACAAATAGTTAGATATGGTGAGATATTGAATGAAAAGGGTGAACTTAAATCTATGCAAGCGTTGGAAGAACAAGATATAAAAATGAATTGGTTTTCATATTTGCAAGTACAATCTAGATTTGATAAAGATATTAAATTAGAAGGTATTTATGATGAGTTGACTGACTTAGATAAAATCTTGATATATGCTGATGAAAATGTAATCAAAAAATTTTTATGGACATTTACTAGAATTTAAATTGGAGGAGGAACAAGTTAAAGAAACAATGATTGCTTGGTGGAAAAATTTTGGATATGGGATTGATATAGAGAAATGGCAGAAATTATGGTCTCAAAATTATAAAATGACAATCAACTGCTTATAAAGAAAATTTGTATAAGATGTTTTACAGGTGGCATTTACTCCAGACAAGAATTGCGAGAATGTTTAAGAACAAATTGGATAAATGTTGGAAATGTCATCAGATACCTGATTCATATTACCATATGTGGTGGACGTGCTTAGATGCAAAAAGATATTGGACTAAAATCCACACATGGTTGGAAAAAGTGATAAAACAACATATAGACTTTAAGCCAGAGATATTTTTATTGGGAATTATACTGGAAATGTACAATAAAGAATTGAAATATTTGATTGTAAATGTTTTAACAGCGGCTAGGATTGTATTTGCTAAGAATTGGAAAAATGAAAAAATACCTATGCAGGAGGAAGTTATTAAGAAAATTATGGACTGTGCTGAAATAAGTAAATTGACATTTGAAATTAGAGAACAAGAAGATAAACAATTTTACATGATATGGGATTTGTTTTATCAATGGTTGGATAAAAAGACATGGTAATGTAATAGATTACGAAATCTTGTAATAGAAGTTTAATAGATCGATATAAAATATAATATAGATATATATAACCATTGGATGAAAGTACAATATAAATTTCATAATAAAATCTAGAATATCTCGTATAAAATGATGGAATAAATAGTTTAGTCATGAATGATTAATAACTGATAAACATATAAGCATATGTTAGTTTGACAATGTGAGAATTTATTTAATGTGTGAATAGTGACTATGAAAGGATAGCACAAAAGATTTGTAACCAACTGACACACTGTATGTATATAAAATGGAAGATGGGTTTATGTTTTTATGTTTTGTCTGTATATGTTTGTCTTAAAAAATAAAAATTTTTACATAAAAAAAGATAAAATTGATTCCCTGTTTTATAATATTTAGACTCTCCTTTGTCTTTTATTTCTAAAGTTAAACTATCTGATTCTGCACATGCCATAATTTTTCTTATTCTTTCTGTTTCTGAAAGTATGATTTCATTTTTCCAATATTGTGCATATAATATTCTAGCTGCTGCCAATACATGTACTATTAGATACATAATTTCCTTCTCAAATTTTTCTAATATTATACCAAGAAGAAAAAATTCCGGTTTAAATGGAATACATTCTCCCATCATTTGTTCTATCCATGTTGGAATCAAGTCTCCAATATTTTTTGCAGCATTGCAAGTCCACCACATATGAAAAAATGTGCCTGGTACATCTTTACACTTCCAACAATTTAGAGATATATTTTTAAACATTTTAGAAAGCCTTGCTTTGGTGGAAGATGCCACCTGTAAAACATCTTATAAAGATTTTCTTTATAAGCTGTAGTTAATGTTATTTTATTTGTGGTCCAAAGTTTTTGCCATTTAGCCAATTCAATATTATAACCGAAATTTTTGTCCATGCCACCATTGTTTCTTTAACATGTTCTTCCTCAAGTTTATATTCTATTCATCCATCATCTATTCTTGTTCTAAAAACTACACTGCAGCAATCAGAAGAATACAGCACATAACCAAATATTTCCCTGTGCATGACAATGAAATACCCATATATTATATGGGAATATAATTTCTGAGGTAGCCTCATGTATGATTAGGAGACCATGCATCTTCATCCATATTTTGTACATTGGTTAAGTAAATTGGATCTCACATCTATAAGCATGGACTACCATTTTCTAACGACTTCCTATTTACAGAATCATGCCAGAATCATACCTGAAATACATTGATTTGGTTTTTTTATAAGTGTTTTCTTCCATCGATTTGTTTTCATTCTGTTGTTTTTTTTTTAATCAACCAAATGTTGATCAATTGGTTGCAAAAGAAATTTATTGACTAATTTTCCATCTGAGCCTGACACCATAGTCAACTGAGACATTGAGAGAGTAAGTGGCCTAATGTCAGCCAGCCAATTTTCATGCCTAAGATAGGTCCACAACTTACAGTCTCCTGATGTCTTAATTACTAGATCAAATCAGTTCTCCCCTGAAATATTTTGAATGTACTAAATATATAATATTGCAAGTAAAGACCTTTTTAAAAAGAGGGAAACTTTGTGATTTTGAATGTTTAATTGTAAAAACTATTATTTAGTGTAAGTTACTCACAAAAATATTACATTCGTACCTATTTCCACATAACGACTGGGTAGATCCCGCATTTCACTTGCATGCCGTTCTTTCACTGAGCATATCTATAAAGAAAATAATATTAATTATAATTACTTGTTTTAGAAAATAGTGTAAGATCATACTGATGTATTGGCAAAGTAACCACAGTAATGTTAAGATTATAATTTCAGTAAATATTACAATTTAATGCTAGGAGCAGCATATAAAGTACCTAAATGTCTCAGAAATATCTGTAAGCGTTCATTCTTGTTTAAATTTCAAGTATAACATTAAATTTAGTATCATAGCTTTTATAGTTGTCAGATTAGCAACTGTCAGACTGTAATGGTAAAACCTACAAAAGTCTTTTGTCATGAAATCTACCAAATTTATGCTGTTTGTAGTTCTTTCGTAGAATTTTTTTTGCCTCAGATTCATCCAAGAAAGATTTTGTCTATGGAAAGAACTATGATTCTTTGTTACTTATTTTTATTTTTGCCACAAAATAATTCTTTACATGTTTTTAGCACTGTCTTAAATTCATATCAATATATGTTTCGGTTGGTCAAGAAAATAAGCATTTTTATATACATAACATCATACAACTTCCAAACATTACTTAGGATTCAGTCTTACAATGTCTACTCAAGTAGCCATTGTATTTACAATGTCTACTCAAGTATTCAGTGGTATTTACTTCCACAAAGGAAATGTTAAAGTTTTGTCCTTTTTGGTCTTTGGTTAGAAATGAAGGGCAATTGTTTGGTAGAAAACTGTTGTGTCTGCCCACACTATAACCTCTCCAAGAAAGCATGTATTCAACATCCCAGGATTCATTACTCACTAAAGTTAAGGCTGATGGAAAATAGTTGATAAAACATTCAACTTATATACTACCTTTTCAAACTAAGCAGTTAATGAAACCAAAACTCTTTTAGCAGCTCTCAAAGCACACTACTGGAAGACAAAGGAAGAAGATCATCCCAGTCTTGCCTACTCACATGCTTAAGATAAATCTGTCTGACCACTGGGCATTTGTCATTATTCCTTCTTATGAAGGTCAGCCCAATGACATTTCTATGGCAGCAGGAGTTCTCTGCACAGTAGTCAAATCAAATTTTCTCCCCCCCCCTTCCCTATCGCTTTCACTTTTCAGAAATAATCCTCTGTTTGTCTGTGATAGCAGCAAGCATTTATTACAAAGATAGGTAATTGTACCTTTACTGAATTTCCCCAGCCAATAATCAGTGTTAAATTATCTTTCCAGCAAAGGCTGCAGGGATACATATCAGGACGGAGGCTTATATCGTCTCGGGGCACATTGGTGATTCTTTGCTTAGCAGTCATGTCAAATATCTTCACGCCCTGGAATTTTAATACACAGTAAGAGAGTTCTGTGTGACATTTTTTACACAAAACATAGAAGTATTACAGGCTATATCAAGGTGGTAGCACTATTGGAGGCACAAAAAAGATTTTGGTGAACAATTGGAAAAATTTGGCAGGAAAACTTAATGTGAATTCTCTTCTACAGCAAGCTCTTAAAAATGTAGTAAACAAGGGAAGCAGTTATGTAATTTTACTTTGCTGCCGCAGTTTACAAACAAAACTCACGTATACATACATGCACATTGATCTTTCTTTTTTGTATTTCTTATTATACAAGAAAACTACAAATGTGTGATAAGATTTACAAAATACATGAAATAATTAGTTTTTCTCTGTTCTTTAAATTGTGAGAATTAAGTTGTGCTATCTTCTAAACATGTTGTTTAGAACTAATTTCTTTCTTGAAGTTAGCTTTGTCTAAGCTAGCAAAATTGATTACAAATTCTTTACAAATGTATCATGTTTTCTGACATGGAAACTGAACAAGATGTGGTTATGACCAAGAGATGAAACTCTTTATGCTTCCACTTTTGTAATTACAAAACTGTAAATTATTTGGACAATATCTCCTCTTGGACAAGAATTTCAAATCACAGTATACAGAAGTGAATGCTACAATTTCTTCCTTTCAGGAGAAAAAACATATACTAACAAGATGTTCCATTGTTTTAACACTGATTGCCAAAATTAAACTAGAAATGTTTGAAGTAGAAATATCTGTCTCTTAAACTTATGGGAAGACTCTACAAAATTGCTCTAAAACTACTTTATGTAGGGGGGGAAGCCCCTTCTTTCCTTAAACTTTTTTAGAATATTTATTAGCCTTATACATGACTGAATACTCTCACAAGATGTAGTATTTAAAAGGTCCTACATAATGACTTTTCTGGTTGCACATCTTAGTCTCCCTTTAAATGTTTCTAAACTACAGCTCCCAGAATTTTTCACCATTGATTATGATGTGAGGAAATTTGAAGCATTCAAATGTCCAAATTAGAATATTTGGAAGGTACAGGTCTCCTAGTTCTGCCTTAAAGAAAACGCACTGATTTTGGGAGGGAAATCGTGAAGGAATGTGATGGTATTACGTTTCCCAGAAAAGTGAGTAAGAGTACATTTTTCTTCTGAACTTTGAGGAGTTATTCTACAGATTTATGTTTTCCTACTAGCAAAAAGTGAGAATTACATTAAAACCATGGCAGAGGGTAAGAGAAATATTTAAGACTTCATATGACAGTAAGTCAACAGTTCTTGTTCATAAAGCAATCTACAATCTATGGTTTTGGGCTGAAGAATCCTAAATAAGAGTTTATTCTACAATCCTCTGCAAATTAAATTTCTAAACATTTCCTAAATGACGATAACAATGTGTCTCTTGAACAAGTTACAGGCTTATCTTTTCTGCCTTCAGTTTTAAAATACACATGCTCACACATATGAAATCACTTTAAGATGAATTAAGGTAATGACACCAGAGAAGTACACTATCAACCCAGCAGAACTCACCATATTGTTGGCCCATGCAATCAGATTTCCTCTCCATTTCACACTCCTTATAGGTCCCTCTCCTTCATGTAAAACAGAATGCTTCCATCTATTCATCCAATTCTTTTCAAATAACAATAACTGGGTAGAAGAGTAATTTTTAAGTTTTTAAAATAAATTAATATAAATAGGTATATCATATATATAAAGTTCACTGTAAAATAAAAAGTACAGGAGAAAATGTCTTCAGTTTTTAAATGACCGCAACAAGAAAGACAATATAGGCAAAGAAATACAAGCAGAACTAAAAGTGTAAGATTTTAGTTCATTACATAAAATCTAGGATAGGCAAAAATGTAATCCAGAATTTTTGCTTTTGAATGGTTTGATAAAGTTAATCACCCAGTATGATTTAAATGTCATACTTTCAAAATATTAACCTGTGTAAAGTGGACAATATCAATTACTACAGCAAATACGTATAAACAAGGAGATTCATAAAGATTTACATACTTTGTCTTCATGTTTTATTCCTTCCTTCTCATGTAACCATGGGAAGAAAACTAGAGTGCTTCTCTTCACTTTTCATCTAAATACACATAATTGCTCTTTCTATGGTTCATAAAATATATTATTAGATGCAGCTTACATTATTTGAACTGGTGACTCCTAAGGAAATGGACAGTGCTTTCTGTGCTGTCAGTTTGGCACCTGGATCCTGGCCCCCTACTCAGCTGTAAAAGCAGCCAGGGAGATGAACCACAATTGTGCCCATACAGTAAATTAGCTCCTTTGACAAAGAAGTGGCCCCTCGTCACCACCTCTTTGGCAGTGATGTGTCCCACTTCAGGAAGCTGTCCTTGGCATGGATGAAAGATTTTGGATATAGTATAAATTTGGATGGATGGCAAAATTTATGGGAACAAAATAAAAAAATGACTTTGGCCACATTGTTTAAAGAAAATTTATATAAATTGTTTTATAGATGGCATATTCCACCATCAAAATTGGCTAAAATGTACTCAAATCTTTCCCCTGTGTGTTGGAAGTGTAATAAGGAAAATGGAATGTATTATCATCTATGGTGGAATTGCAAAGAAGCCCAAATATTTTGGCAGAAAATCCAGAAATGGTTAGAAGAGATGTGTAAAATTAAAATAGAATATAGACCTGAATTTTTCTTGTTAGGAATTAATGAGGGAAAATATGATAAAGATATTATATACTTCATAATCCATGTAATCACAGCTGCAAGATTAGCCTATGCCCAACAGTGGAAATGTAAGGAAACCCCAGGAGAAACAGAAATAATTAGGAAAATTTGGATGTGCGCAGAAATGGATAAATTGACAAAAGAATTAAAAAATAAGGATGAATCTGATTATTACAAAATATGGGATAAGTTTTATCACTGGTTGGAAAAAAGGAAGGATCAAGAAAATAAGACGATTAAGGTTGATGTATATATTATATACTATGTATATAGAATGTATATATGTATTATTATTTATACAACTTAGCGATGTAAGACAATTATGTGGGTTGGGAGGATTGCACCATGTTCATTGGTTTTAAATGTCTTTTTCTTTCTTTTTTGTGTATGTTTAATAATTTTTTTTTAAAAAAGAATATCTTTGGACCCAGCAAATTTTGATAACTAATTATCAGTCATGAAACTCCCATTCCTTGTGAAGCTTATTGAGAAGATGGTCAGTCAGCAGAATCCTGCAGGAAATTCATTATCTAGACATGGGTTTCAGACTAAGATTTATTATTGAGTTATCATATTAATGACCTCTAGTGGAGTTGGGATGATGATTGTGCCTTGCTCTTCTTGCTCTCTTGGCAACTTTTGATATAGTCAACTACCGTATCCTTCTGACCTGTTTCTCTCTTACAGTGGTTCTCTTCATTTCTTTGGTGCCAGTTCCAGTCAGTTAGTGGCAAGAAGACATTGTTCACTATGCCCCTCACTTATAATCTCTAACCCCTCTTCCCTCCTTTTCAATATCTTCATGAATGGCTTGGTAAATTTATCTGCTGGTTTGGTATTTGGTATAATCAATATGCTGATGATGTCCAAGTATATCTTTTGATCCTGGATTGGCCAAGTGCGCCTGTCAGGGTTCAGTCCCAGAAATGAGAGGCTGTGTGGGTTTGAATGAGGAAGAACTGTCTTCAATTCAGTCCTATCAGGATAAAGTGCCTGTGCATGCTTGTACAGATATGGGATATTCCAACATTGATCCTTCAAGCAGTCATTCCTAATTACCCCCAAAGCAACACATAACAGAGCCACATGGGGCTGCTCTTGAAGACCACCTAGAAGTTTCAGCTGGCCCAGAATACAGCTGCACAGCTGTCAGGGTTCCAAGTAATAAATCCATTTCAAACAACACTCCAAGACAATTAGATTCCTCAAAGAATAGCTTTATTGGAAATACCGTATTGGCACTTATTTAGTGAAAAACCACTCTGAAAAGTCCTGTGGGTTTGCACCTAATTAAAAGTAAAAGTTTTTCTCTCAATCCCAAACAATCAGTCACATGGTCCAATCAAGACGCTATCTGATGGTGCGTGACAACACTCCTCCTTCCTCCAACCAGGTGTAAGAACGTCCTTTGTTCTCAAGAGAAAGTATTATTTTTTAACTACATAAGCCCAGCTATCTCTAATCCCCCTCCCTATTCCTCAACTCTAGTGTGGCAGCACTGAAGCTCCAAGATGGTTTCATCCAGGCAAGCTTCAGGATTGAACAGGCTGCCCCTCTCAATTGAAGTGGATTTCTGGCAAGACAAAGCATATGGGGGAAATTAGTTGACTCATCTTAACCCCCCACCTTCCTCCACCTGGAGGTCCCTTTGGCTTCTGAGAACCCATAATGAAACTGCTTAACCAACCTATCTGCCTTTACATCCCAGCTCTTGAAAAAAGTGGCCTCAGAGAGAGGGTATTGTTAGGAATGTAAGTCACCTAACATTTGGGTTGGAAATATATAAACCAGGATAAACATTTTAATACTGTTTCTTTAAGGGAATGCTAAAATTGTAATTGGGTGTGGTTCCTCAAACAGCCATATGATGGAGCCAGAAACCTGGGTTGTTTAGTTCTGTTGTTGCTGAGAGTGTTGCCGTTCCTGCATTTTTCCTATTGACTGTTGCTGATCATCGTTAGTCTTGGATTTGATGTGAGTCTTTTACTAAACTGTTTATGATACTGGACTTTGTTATTTGGATTATCCCTGGAATGAAAACTGACTGCTTTAACCGTGAATGACTTGGACTGTTTTGTTGGACTTTGCTTAAACATTTATTGGAAGTAAAAACCTACATTTTTATTATACAGTGTATCTGGGTGCTGGTTGTGTGTTATTCAAACACTACTCTCAAATACGTCTCCCTGTATGCGTACATTCGCCTAACGGGGAATTACCTCAACACTGGTTATGGGCCCAGGCCATACCAGGCTCAGATAACTGAGAGTTAGTGTGAATACACAGTACTGTATACAGACAGCTTTTACTGTTTAATTGTGGGTTACTGTCCTGGTAAAGATGGCACAAGACACTTCAACCAGTCTATCACTGATAACCCGGTTGGATGGAACAAACTATGTTTCCTGGTCTATGAAGTGCAGTCTACTTCTGCGTAGAGAAGGTTTATGGAATGTAGTTCAAAATCCACTGGATGTAAATGCTTGGGATCCAAATAATGAGGATGATGCCAAGAAGCTTGCTGACTTTAAACAGAACAACGAACAAGCTCTTTGTATAATTGGACTAACACTGAGTGACCAGCAGCTAGTCCATATTCATGGAGAAGAGTCTGCTGCTAGGTGTTGGGAGAATTTGAAGAGGATTTATGTTTGTGACAGTGTAGGTGCACACATACATCTTACACCTAAACTGTTTAGAGCACGTCTTCTGAAAGGTGGAGATATGTTAGCTCATTTGAACTTCATGAAAAGAACTTTTCAAGAGCTACATGAAAAGGAACTGATATTTTCAGAGCTGCATCAAGTTTACACCATTCTTTCCTCATTGGATGAAAGTTATGATGATTATGTATCTTCACTGGAAGTCCTGACCAGAGATAAACTGACACTGACTGACATAACCGGAAGGTTGTTAGAAGAAGCAAGAAGACGGCTAGATAGGGACCAACTGAGGAAGGAACAACCACAAGAAGAGGATTTGTCTTCAACTGCCTATACTGTTAGGAAATGTTTTTCTTGTGGGGCTAGGGGATGTACAGCTAAATTCTGTAAGAAAGGAAAACAACAGAATACTGGTAATCACCAGAAGGCCAAGAAGAATGTTAGTTTAGCTATGTCTAGCAATTCAACTGTAAACCATGATTTGTGGGTAGTTGATAGTGGAGCATCGTAATGCATTATTAAAGATAGAAAAAAGTTTGTAAAGATGTCCACGAGTAAGCAACATGTATCATTGGCAAATAGATGGAAGATTAAAGCATCAGGTGAAGGCACTGCATATTGTTCTTGTATAAACAAACATTTAACTATGTTATATGTGCCTAAACTGAAATTTAATTTATTATCAGTAAGGGCTTTAGTTAATCTTGGTTATGTAGTAACCTTTAGGGGAGACAACTGTATAATAGAGAAAGAGGGTAAAAGTGTTACTGCTACATTAGAGAATGATTTATATGTGATACATGATGACCAGTTGAAGATGGCTAACTCAGTTTATAACAATGCTAAGCCACATGATGAATGTATACATAGATGTCTAGGGCATATTAATTTCAAAATGCTCAAACAAACTGTTGAATTGTCAGAGGGAGTAAAATTGAAACCCTGTAGCAAGTATTTAAACTGTAATGCCTGTAGCCAAGAGAAGAGCAAGGTTACTCCTGCAAACAGGCTAAATGGGTTTAAGACCAAAGAACCTTTAGAGGTTGTGTTTGCTGACATAATTGGTCCTAAAAAACCAAGTTTAGGAGGTGCCTGCTATATTTTGAGTATTATGGACCATTACTCATGATATGGTTTCTGCTATCTTATGAAACATTCCAACATTTCTTTAACTGGCTAAGGTTTACTGAGAGAAAAATGAAAAGTAAAGCAATTACTTTAGTTACTGATAATGGAACTGAATTTGTTAACAAAAGATTCCAAAA